TGCTATTGGATAGTGGCTGGTGTTCAGAAAGGAGGGACTCACTCTTCACTCCACTGATGGTCTGGTGGGTGGACTAATTGTTCCAACTTGTGATGCAGAACTGGTATCCAATCAGGCTCTAGCACCTCATAATGGGCATCCTCGATCTTTCCCATATGCCAGCAGAGGAGATTGTGACACACCAATTTCTCATTGGCCAATAGGTAGAACAGTCTCCAATTTTATTCCCCACTGTTTTCCGGATAATCACAATGGTTTGCTTCATTGTCATCCTTTATGTGCATTAAACCAGTATAACTACTTAAGCTACTTATTTGCTGTATACATGCCCCGCCTTTTTCTCAAGGCATTTTGAATTTTGATTTTAATAAATGGTGTTGGTTTTGTATAAGAACACTAAACCAACAAAAGCCACCAATAGAAACAAAAACAGAGAACACTGAGCACATGAAACAAATATGCAACATAAGACATCGATAGCCTTAATAAAGAGAACAAAGACAAACCGTTTCTAAAGCCACAGATAGGCAATAACAATCTTCGGGCCAAACTGTCACAAACTGCCAAGTTATAGGCGGCCTATAAATATGTGTATAAACAAATAAATAGCAAATAATACTTCCAGTTCTCAGAACCCTGGGCAAGTCAGTATTCAGATAGCATAAATTACACTCTTTGGTGCACAACTCTGAGATAAGCTATGGGGAATGCAGTCTCATACTTACAGTTAGAGCAGGATGCAGGTATGCCACAATGAATACTTGGTCCACAAGGGGTTGTTGGTGTTGTTCAGTCACAAAGTCGGATCTGATTCTTCGCAACCCCAGGAAATAAAAATACAAGAATGGAGGGGAAATGACAAACCAATTCCATCATCCTTAGAAATTGGACCATGGCCTACCAAGACCTACCTAAGTCCTGGAGAGACAATGCCACCTCTAGAAGGGAGCGGTCCTGCCAGTGTCACTTGATGGCACAACACCCCCAAAGCAGAAGAAACAAAGAACAAAGGCGGAAATAGTCCCAGCAAGGAAGGAGACTCTGCCAAGGAACACACAGATTGAGAGCAGTTGTGGTGCAGGCTTAGAGGATTGGACTAGGCCTAGGGAGATCCAAGGTTTAGTCCTCAAGCAGCCATGAAGCTCACTGGGTGACTTTGGGCCAGTCAGCTTAATCTACCCCACAGGGTTGTTGTTCTGAAAAGAATTGGGTGTGGAAGAGGACCAGGTACACAACTCTGGGCTCCCTAGAGGAAAGGCAGAAGCAAAATGCAATACATGAATCTTCAAGAGCCTGCTAGTTGGAGTTGTCACAGGGAGCCCAAACGTTTGACTCACAGCCCCAATCTCTACAAAGGAAAAAACCAGTGCCTTTTTTGTAAAAAAAAAAAAAAAAAAGGTGCCGGAACTCACGTCGCCGC